AGCGTGAGCCTGTACACAGGGTCTGTGTGCCGGGCAAGCGCTATACGTATACACGATATCAGACTATGGGTGCCTTTTTGGCCCTCCCCCGAAATCCCTCGCCACGGCCAGCTTCTTCTCCGGCGTCATCGGAGCATGCGGTACATTCTCTTTGTTTATGGGACCCAGACACTGATGCGCCTCAGTGCAAGGGTTCTTCTCGTACCGAATCTATGTGTTTTCGAAAAAACTGTTCATCCCTTCCCTCACTTGGGTTATGGCAGTTCTCCGCTTGTTGAGTGGAACCGCGATCTTCTACATAACCCTGCGGATGACCTCAGTACGCTTTCCGATGCGGTGGGGATGGTTCCTGGCAGCATCCTGGAGCGTCAGCGCTGTGAATGACGTGACGATCACCGCGACCCTAGCGACCATCCTCCTCTGCCAACGGACTTATGCACAAAAAAGGTTTGTTTCCCCCCAATCTAATATTGAGTCTAGAGTCATCCCGTTATGTGGCGCAGGACCTTGGCGCTTATGGATAAACTGGTCGCATGGACCATAGGTTCGTCAAGAGTTTGCTCGCGTTGTAATTTCCGCTCACAATTCATGCAGAAACCGGGATGCTAACAAGGTTCGATTTGCAGTCCATTCCTCATGCCGCATCTCATTTTCAAACTTCTAGTGCGATGACCATCGCAACACTCATCTGCGTATGTCCCATACCTCTCTGTCAACTCTGCAAACTGAATACTTTCTTCCAGTTTCTCGCAATGAAAGAAAGTTGTATGTTTGCCAAAAAAAACGTCATATGTAGTGTACATCCTCACCATTTTGTAGATATCTGGGTTGCAGTTCCCATGGTTGAAGCGCGAAGTGAGTATACCCCCGTCAGTTTGCTCCGCAACTTTAACCATATGAATACCCTTAAGTGTTTTCGAACTCGCTCTTGGCTAGGTAAGTTGACAATGATGTCGAACAGTCAAATCATAAACTGATATTGAGCTTCATACGTAGTTTGAACTCCAGGGCAACGCTGCGCGCAATGAACGAGGTTTCTCTGCCATCTTTGCACTTTACAGCCGCGGTGAGTTTCTTCCCTCGTTTCGGAGCACTTGTCAATGGCAGGAGACATAGATGGCGTCACCCTCAAACGGCGTCCAGATTACAGAAGTAGCGCAGATGGCATCCAATGTTGAGCTGTCCCGTTTCCAATCCGCAACCGAGATGGAGAATAAAGCTAGTTTGCAACAAGATAATTATGTAGTGTAATGTGATCAACCCGCCATGTTCAACCTATGCGTGGGTCAAGCAGATGGAGCGTTAAAACAGTGTTTCAAGAGTGTAATGTGAAAAAAACTCATCGAATTTTGCAATGCTCGTGTAAGCGAATATTCAACCAAACACGCATTCCGGGACAAACCGTGGGAGTATTGAATCAATATTTTGAAACTCCGCGAATTGGCGGCGTTACCTCCTTTTGCTACTGGTCCAACCAGTACCGATCGTGGCGACGACCGGGATGTATCTGGACAATAATTGACCACCGGAGAGGAGAATACACCTTTCCGTTTCTGTGCTTCTGGGAACCTGGCTGTGGAGGTCTATTATTCTATTTACGCTTTCAGTATCCGAGTCAACCATGAAACAGAGGACTTCTGTCTTCTCGCTCCAGATATCTCACCCATTTTGATTTCCACATCCGGCTGCTGAACCCAAGTTAGCCCGCCAATTCACTCTTACTTACATTGATTTTTTATGCTTAATCCAACTTTCGTCTCGATTTTAAAATCACCGACTTTCTTCCCCTTGCCACCGGTTCCCCGATTAAAAACGGTAAATATCCTATGTGGTAGCGCTCCTGGTTAGGTTTCCTCGATCATCTCGACGACATCAACCAGATCTTCTCCCGTTGTTCAGGAATGATATGTAGCCCCAGAGTATATATTTAGTAATCGTCTTCCACCCGCACCTCAGAATGGCGTGGACCGTGAGTCCCCTCAGGCTGACTCGGGGCTGTACATATATTAAATTATTGCCCTCCTTCTTATCCACCTCAGGATGAACAATTTTTATGGACTTCGCTTATCTTTGAATTTCAAACACCACTTTCGGTGAGCACAGAGTATTGGCATTCTCAGGCCTCCGTCATTCATCTCGATAGCAACCAGATCGCCTCCCGTTGTTTGAAATATAAGTATAGCCTACATGTCCCATGTCCAGTCTTCTTTTTCCACCTCGGGAAGAACCACACGCCGTATGGAGTCCGCAGGCTCTTTCGAGGTCAACACCACTCATGATCATCTCGACATACATGATCATATCCCGTGGTTCACAACTAATTATAACCCCAGGGCTATATAGTATATATTCTCCTTCTTTTTCACCTCACCTCAAGAAGAGCCGCTCGCTGTATGGACCCGGCCATATCCTTAAATCTCAACACCACTCTCGGTGCGCACAGATGTCGATGCTTGATGATTGTGGTCCTTCAAATAATGTTCTCTTTTGTTTGTTTGCAGGTGCCTCCGAAATCGGTGTCCTGTTCTCTTATGTGCTCTTCGGGGTAATGACCACCCAGACGTATATATATTACAGTCGCTTCCCAGACGACTCTCGTAAACTCAAGGCTTTGGTGTGTAAAAATGCTCAACCACATGAAAATTATTGGACTGATCATCAAGCAAAGGTTACCTTTATCTGGTACGTGCCACGTACGGCCCAGGTCCTACCCATGCAGACCATGTCCACGTATCTGAGTATCAGTCTGTACACAGGCTCTGCGAGTTCGCGCACACGGTGTGCGCCGGGCAAGTGCTATACGTATATACGATATCAGACTATGGATACCCGGAACGCCTTCTTGGCCCTGCCTCGAAATCCCACGCCACGGCCAACTTCTTCAGCAGTGTCATCGGAGCATGCGGTACATTCTCCTTGCCTATGGGACCCAGACACTGATGCTCCTCAGTGCAAGGGTTCTTCTCGTACCGAATCTATGCGTTTTCAAAAAAACTCTTTATCCCTTCCCTCACTTGGGTTATGGGGTTTCTCCGCTTGCTGATCGGAACCGCGATCTTCTACATGACCCTGCGGATGACCTCAGTGCACGACTTTGAGACTCAGTGGGGTTGGCTCCTGGCAGTACCCTGGAGCATCAGCGCTGTGAATGACGTGACGATCGCCGCGACCCTAGTGACCATCCTCCTCTGCCAACGGACTTATGCACAAAAAAGGTTTTTTTCCCCAATCTAATATTGAGTTGAGATTCATCCCGTTATGTTACGCAGGACCTTGGCGCTTATTGATAAACTGGTCGCATGGACCATAGGTTCGTCAAGAGTTTGCTTGCATTGTAATTTCCGCTCACAATTCATGCAGAAACCGGGATGCTAACAAGGTTCGATTTGCAGTCCGTTCCTTATGCCGCATCTCATATTTAAACTTCTAGTGTGTTGACCGTCACATCGCTTATCTGCGTATGTCACATGCCTCTGTCAACCCTGCAACCTGAATACTTTCTTCCAGTATTTCGCAAAGAAAGACAGCTGTATGCTTGCCAAAAAAAAAGTAATATGTAGTGTACATCCTCACCATTTTGTAGATATCTGGGTTGCAGTTTCCATGGTTGAAGCGCGAAGTGAGTATACCCCCGTCAGTTTGCTCCGCAACTTTAACCATATGAATACCCTTAAGTGTTTTCGAACTCGCTCTTGGCTAGGTAAGTTGACAATGATGTCGAACAGTCAAATCATAAACTGATATTGAGCTTCATACGTAGTTTGAACTCCAGGGCAACGCTGCGCGCAATGAACGAGGTTTCTCTGCCATCTTTGCACTTTACAGCCGCGGTGAGTTTCTTCCCTCGTTTCGGAGCACTTGTCAATGGCAGGAGACATAGATGACGTCGCCCTCAAATGGCGTCCAGATTACAGAAGTAGCGCAGATGGCATCCAATGTTGAGCTGTCCCGTTTCCAATCCGCAACCGAGATGGAGAATAAAGCTAGTTTGCAACAAGATAATTATGTAGTGTAATGTGATCAACCCGCCATGTTCAACCTATGTGTGGGTCAAGCAAATAAGGTTGTTCACAGTCGCCCTTTTTTCTCCCTTTTTTGCTCCCTTTTTGCTCCCTTTTTGCTCCCTTTTTGCTCCCTTTTTGCTCCCCTTTTTGCACCCTTTTTCATGCCTGGCAGAACATGTACTATAAAATCCAGAAAAATTCACCCCAGTCCTTTTTGAATATTTAAGGTAGTATGTGACCTTTGAAGAACAATATGAGCACCCAGGCTCCATGCAATGGAGAAAGGGAGCCAAAAAGGGCGCAAAAAAGGGTGGAAAAAGGGAGCGCCAGCCTGGGGATTTCACAGTTACCCGTTTTCGCGTCCTTTTTCATTCACTTTTTTTTTTTCGATTTCTCCAGAATTTCAGGGAAGACCCCTTTCTTTTCGGTTTCCTACCCTTCTAATTGGAAAAGGGAAAAAAACCGGGCGAAAAACGAAGAGAATTGCAAAAAGGGCGAAAAAGGGTGGCAAAAAGGGCGGGAAAAAGGCCAACTGTGAACAACCCTAATGGAGCGTTAAAACAGTGTTTCAAGAGTGTGATGTGAAAAAAACTCATTGAATTTTGCAACGTGTAAGCGAATATTCAACCAAACACGCATTCCGGGACAAACTGTAGGAGTATTGAATCAATATTTTGAAACTCCGCGAATCGGCGGTGTTACCTCCTTCTCCCAATAGTGGGGATGATCCGGACAATAGGCTCGTTGACATCCAGAGTAGGACGCTCGAGGACTACTCGAAAATCAGCGCAAATTGTGTGGGAGCGCTCGAGAATACTTAGAGGACCATGCTCGCTAAAAGCAGCCACCAAAAATGAAAGAGAGAGGTTGAACGTCTCCGGCATCCTTCACATTACATGATGCTGAATCATATTACACGATTTACCAACTGATCTATGCGGGCGTGATGGTTGAGAAAAACAGAGCATGGGAACAAAAACAGGGCTCCCTACCGCATGCCCACAGGAGGGTTCGAACCTCCGTCTCCTTCATATAGAATATATTACTCCGTTAAATTATAGAAGGCGATCTACCAACTGATCCATGTGAGCGTGATGGATCTCAATCAAAAGAATAACAAATATGGACAAAAAAAAGTGTTCCCATAGGAGGACTCAAATTCATTGGCATGCACTTTAAATTGACCGATTCATGCGGGGGTGATCACCGGCGCTGACAAAATAGGAGATAGGATAGATTCAATTGACATTCGTACGAGGAAGAATCTGGCCCGCAACGTTGGGAAGAAGTCCAAGCTGACTAGAGAGCCACCACAAAAAGTGAGAAAAATAAAGGATTATACATCAGATATGCCTTCTGGGGGATTCGAACCCCCGCGATCTCATAAGCCAAGATTAAGCAGGCACAATGGACGAGACGATCCACCGTTGATCCAAGAAGGCATTGTCAAAGGCCGAATACATGTACTCTACCGTAATCTGGCATCTCGGGTGTTGGGTGTCAGAAACGGTCGAGCCAGTCAATGTTGGATTTTTACAGGATGCTCAACCGAAGTGCTCTCGGGAGAAATAAAATAGAATTGAGCATTGGCCATATTCCTGGTGATAATTTAACCTAGAAAAAAAAGCATATGAACCAATTGCGAAAAAGATGAATGATCCCAACCATACCCATAGGAGGGTTCGAACCTCCGTCTCGCTCAAAATCTCACCACAATTTTGGAAGGCGATCTACCAGTTGATCCATACAGGCATGATGGACCACGAAGATAACTTAGGTAGAGTAGAGAAGAACATGGAGCAAAGGGTTCGAACCTCCTACATTCTATATTCCACCCTCATTAATATTATATTATGAGACTCGCTGATCCTGCGGGCGTGATATGGATAGATTTCAGAAAAAATAATGAGCATCGAAGCAAGACCAAAATAATGGCAATAGGAATTATGCCCACAGGAAGGTTCGAACCTCCGTCTCCTTCAAAACTCAATATATATCCAAAATAATTGTGGAAGGCGATCTACCAACTGATCTATGTGGGCATGATGAGACCTGATGACAAAAATGAATGAGCATGGAAGAAAAAAGCTTTTCTAAACTGGTAATACCCGCAGGGTTTGAACCTCCGTCTCCTTCAAGAATCAACCCAAAAAAATGAGCTGGAAGAAAAAATATTGCATAATCTTGATGCCCACAGGAGGGGACCTCCATCTCCTTCAAATATAATACGTCATGGCATAATAATAACAGAAGGCGATCTACCAACTGATCTATGTGGGCGTGATGTGTCTTTTCAAAAAATAATGAAGAAAAAAGATTCCAAATGATCCCCATACTGCCCACAGGAAGGTTCGAACCTCCACCTCCTTCAAATGCAGATTGCGCTATGATAATTGTGGAAGACGATCTACCAGCTGATCCATGCGGGCGTGATGTGCCTCGTTAAAAATATGAGCTGGAAGAAAAAACATTCCGATGATCTACAAATGCCCACAGGACGGTTTGAACCTCTGCCTCCTTCAATGCAGATTTCACTGATAATTGTGGAAGACGATCTACCAGCTGATCCATGCGGGCGTGATGAGTTTTGACAAAAAATAATGAAGAAAAAGATCCCAAATATCCCATAGTGCCCACAGGAGGGTTCGAACCTCCGTCTCCTTCAAATACAATCCTTTGTGGATAATAACAGAAGGCGATCTACCAACTGATCTATGTGGGCATGATCAGCCTTGTCAAAAAAAGAATGAGCTGGAAGAAAAAAATACCTAAGAATTGCATGCCCATAAGAGGGTTCGAACCCGTCTCCTTCAGATTCCTCAGCTAGAACTGGTGTAATTGCAGAAGGCGATCTACCAACTGATCCATGTGATGTGTTTGACAAAAGAATGAGCTGGAAGAAAAAATACTTGGAACAACCATGCCCACAGGAGGGTTCGAACCTCCGCCTCCCTACAATACACTTGGAATAATAACAGAAGGCGATCTACCAACTGATCCATGCGGCATAATGGATAGTGTGACAAAGTACATAGGATAATAGACGAAAATGCGAACAACTTATGGAAGAAATGATTCGAGTTGAAATATAAAATTAGAGAGGAGACGTAGACAGAAAGTGAGGAAGAGCCGTCTGGAGAAAAAATTCTCTTCAACTCTCAGTGCCCTCGGCGGGATTCGAACCCGCGCTTTCTCATGAAATCTACCTAGCCAATGAACTGATCAGAGATGATCTACCGCTGATCCACGAAGGCGTGATGCAGTGGATGAAGGTGAAGATGGCAGGTGTGCTGACCACTTTCAGCCAAGGAAAAATAATAAACTCTACAAATGCCCACAGGAGGAATCGAACCCCCGCCACCTTCACAGATCACCCTGCAATGTGTAAGCTGAGGAAGGAGATCTACCATTGATCTATGTGGGCGTGATGGAAGACACAGTATCAGAAATGCGGGCAAAGCTGTTAAGTTTTACATAAAGTATCAGAAAGGCGGGTGCGGTATCAGAAAAGCCAAAAACGCCGACGTGATGAATACGGCGAGGAACGGAGAAGCGACGGCGGAGATAGGCGGGGCGAGGCTGTTGAGGGGTGAGGGTTGCAGTGCCGTCGTCCAGGAGTCGTAAAGGGACTCGCCGCAGTCGCATGTCTCTCTACGTGGCGTAGAATGCGACCGAACAAATCAGGGTGAGATTTGCCGAGTCATCTTTTTGCGGATGCCGCCGCTTGCGTGGCCAGTGGCCCTTGTTTGTATCACTTAGTCAGCCGCGTGCCCACCGCAGCCACCCCAAAACAAAATTTATTACAAACAACAAACTCTCTTACTTACCACCACAACCAACCCAACCATGCTCGTCGACTCTCCCATGGCTCAATCCATGTTCGCCACACCGCAGTATGGCACAGAGTACACTGCTCAAGACTTCAACGACATCTTCAACACCGAGCTCTTCTCGCTCCCCTCGTCCGGCGCCTCCTCCTCCTCCCCCTCCACCTCTTCCGGCTCGCGGGAGAGCACACCTCACCTGCTCACCCCGCCGCAGGCACCGCCTGCCGCAGCGTTCCCCGACGTCGGTGTGAACGACGGCGGCAGCCCCACACCGAGCTTCTTCAACTTCCTCGACGAGGACGTCAAGGCCTTCGACCCCACGCTCCTCAACCAGGCGCCCTACGACTTCTTCGGCGCCTTTGGCTCCTCTATGGGGCTCAGCAGCGGCGGCGGGGGCGGCGCATCCAACCTCATCTCCAGCACCATGGACTCATCCTCGGGGCTGAGTTTCGACTCGAGCATGAGCATGGACAGCGTTAGCGTGGGCAGCGCAGCGGAGATGAGCGCCATGCTCGGCATCGACCCCTCGCTCGTCGGGTCGCCTGCGTCAAACACCAACTCGTACGGCTCGGATTTCGAGTCGTCTTCCTCGAACGACTCCTCCTCGAATGACTCGACGTCGCCGCAAGCGGCGGCCTCGCCTGAGGAGAGCACGACCATCGCGCCCGTCAAGGTCGGCGGGCACGGCAAGGCGCGCAAGGGCACCGTCGTCAGCGGGGGGATCAAGAAGTCTTCTTCCTCATCCTCCTCTGCTGCGGCTGCAGTGAAAGAAAACACCTCGGCCTCGACCGCGTTCATGCCGACGACGACGTTCAAGCCCCGGGGTGCCAGCAAGGCGCACGGGGACGACGACGAGGACGACGACGACCTGCCGGCAGACTGGCGGCCCCCGCCGGAGGTGTTCCAGAAGATGAGCAGTAAGGAGAAGAGGCAGTTGAGGAATAAGATTAGTGCGAGGAATTTTAGAGTCCGGAGAAAGGGTTTGTGTTTTTCTCTTTCTTCCCCCTCCCCGTCTTTGTCTTCGTCTTCCAAAAAATCTTATACTAACGACTCCAAAAGAATACATATCAACCCTCGAAGACAACATCGCCGAGCGCGACCGCCTCCTCTCCGCCATCCGGTCCGAGTTGGGCTCAACGCAGAGCGAGAACCTCGCACTTCGGCAGGAGATAGCAGCGCTCAAGCGCACATTGTTAGATAACCGCGGCCCTGCCCCCGTCCTCCCTCCCCCCGCTCCCCTCTCCCTCTCCCCATCCCTCGCCTCCTCCGCGTCTTCCCCCTCATCTTCCTCCTCCTCAAGTGCAGCGACGACGAAGAAAGAAGACCTCCCCCTCGCACACACCCTCAAAGACATCGGCGCCTCCTCCTCCGCGCGCTTCTGGGGCGGTGCGAACATGGGCATGGCAGGCGGATACACCAGCGTGCACACTGCGCGGATACCGGAGTTGCTCGGTGCGAGTCCGTGGGCGGCGAGTCCGTTTGCGAGCGCGAATATCGAGACGCCCGCGTCTGCGCCGCCGCCGGTGGCACCGCAGCAGCAGGAGAACCTGAACCCCGCGCTGAACAACGCGAAGGTGACGGATTTGGTGCATCGGGCGGGGTTGGGGATGGGCGCGGGGATGGGGGCGCCGCCGACGATGAATGCGAATGCGAATGCGGATACGTGGGGAGACGCGAATCCGTTTACGGTGCGGAGTTTGGATGCGTGAGTGTCTTTTTTTCTTATTTTTGATCTTTGACCGCTCCCTTGAAAAACGAGTCCTGTCCACCCAAGCACCGTTCCCTACTCCCCTACCCCGCTCACTCACATATTCCTACTTTTTTTGTGCAATCGCCTCTTCCCTTCTACTCCCACTACCACTTCGTACCCCCTCTTTCTTTACTCGCTCTGCTCACAACTGCATGCTAACGCCCTCGCTCACAGATACCGTATGCACCTCTGGGGCCGCATGGCCGCGCAGTACCGGCACAACAAGGAGCAGACCGCCTCTGCCTCCCCCCCGCCCCCCTCGCACTCCCCCTCGCACTCACACAACTCGCCCTTCAGCAGCGGCGCCGCCTCGCCCTTCTCCAACGGTACGCCCACCAACAACGCCAGCTCCGCCTTCGCGCCGTCGCCCTTCTTCAACGCATCTGCGAAGGCACATTCGCCGCCGCACTCGCCGCCGTTCCCGCTGTCGGGTCTGGCGGGCGGGTTGAGGCCGAAGTATTTTGCGAGCCCGACGATGTTTGGGTCCTCGCCTTCGTCTGCGTCCTCTTCCTCTTCGGGTGGAAACAAGGACGACAAGACCGCCTCAAGCCTCGCCGCCTCGCTCGCCGGGCTCTCGCTCTCCCCCAAAGGCGGGGTGCTGCAACAGCAGCATCTGCGCCAGAAGGAGGCGCAGCAGCAGCGGGAGCGGGAACAGGCGAGGGAGAGGGAGAGGGAGGCGATGTATGCGGCGCTGGCGAGCCAGACGCTGCTCAAGCGCCTTGGGGGCGCGTTTTGGGAGGCGTTTTCGGGGGCGGAGCATAAGGACAAGTCGGGGGCTGCGCTTGCGTCGTCGTCAACGGGGTCTTCGACAGCATCATCTTCGAATGTGGGGAGGAATTGGGACGCGGAGAAAGTGAGGAAGGTGTTGGAGGGGAAGGCGGTGGTGAGGGTGGTGGATGTGGAGCCTCCGTCGCCCAGGCTTGCGAATGCCGCGGTGCAGACGCCGGCTGTGACGCCTGCGTCACCGAAGGCGTCACCGAAGATGGAGGCAAAGAGGTGCTCGTCGACGAAGGTGGCGGAGGTGTTGGAGGAGAGTATGAGGAGTCTGAGTTTGGGGAAGAAGTAGGGTGGCCATGCGATTCCGGGCTTCGTGCTTCGCTGCGCTGTCGCGCGACGAGGAAGCGGCGACGAAGACGACGGCTTCCCTCCTCCCTCTCTCGACGACTTTCCTCTCGCTTTCTTTCGCTCTCGCTTTCGATTCACCTATGTGGACTCCCTCCCTCCTGGTTTCGGCTTCGATACAGATACAGATACGATACATACTACTCGCTCGTTTGAGCGCTGTCACTTTCCTTGCATTCTCTTTTTTTCTTTGTTTTCTTCACCTATTTTTCCGACTCTCGACTCCCGGCTCGTGATCCTCATCCTCTCATTCCCATCCATCTCATCCATCGTCTACCCACCCCTGCCTCCTCCTCCTTCGACACCTCCCGACTTCGGCTCCGCCCTGACTCGTCCTCGATCGTGCCCGAATCGACTCGGCGTCGACGATGCCCGAGTGCTGCGGCCGCGTCACCCCGAAGCCGAAACCGACCTCAAATCCCGCTTACGTGTGGCGTCATCCGCTTTACGCGATGCGGTTGTCCATCCGTTCGCCTCTCACAGACTCCGCCCATCGCCTATCGCCTCGTCCGCTTTACGGTTACGGCTCGGACAACGAGGGCAAGGCAAGGCAACGCGTAGGCAACGCGCGAGCAACGAGGCGGAGATAGTTGTAGCATGTAGGCGTGGCTCCCACACCCCCACCTCTACGCAGCACCCTTCCTTACCTTACCCAGCAACCGGCACACCCCCACCCCACCCCCACTCCCAATCCAGAATCCAGAATCCTGAATCGAATGGAACGTTGTACATATAGTATTAAGTAGAACAAGCGTACTTATAGCCTGGATAATTGACTGTGAATCGAATTGGTTTTAACTCTCTTTGGCCTGTGTCTTTAAGTTTGAAGGCGAGAAAAATTGGGTCTGTAAACCGGAAAAGGAAAGGGAAGTGAAGGCGGGAGGTAGGTAGGTAGGTAGAATTACACGGAGTTCATGTGGGCCGCGGCCCTGGATGAAGGCTCCCATGATAGGGTATATGATACGTAGTAGGATATCTGCCACGGTCACTCAATCCGTCAACATTGTCCACGTCGTGAGGCTCTGCAGCGGCTGGTAGGTTAATTATCGACAATAGAGAGGACTTGCAACTGCTGCTCTCTGCCGCCGCTCTTTCACTCACGAACGACCTCCACTTAAACTACCGGCTTCCAGTTTGCCCAAGCTGAGGAAGACGACGACGGTCGCAAGCGAGGCAAGATGAATAGCGTCAAGCTGATGGTAATTGGAGACCATGCTGTCGGAAAGGTGCGCCGCAACGTTAGCCTTACGCACAATGCTGGATATTTATTATTATTCTGCGCGCTAGACCAGCATGTGTATCTCGTTTGCGAGCGGGAACTTCCCGGATGGATACGTTCCGACTGTACGTAGTCCGGATACTTTACACAGTCCAGCGCGTGTTGATCTGTGGATGCATGTAGGTGTTCGAGAGCTACGCGGAGAGTGTGCAGGTGGGGACGGAGACGTTGGAGTTTGGGATTTTCGACTCTTCCGGTGCGTGCGCTCCTTCAAATGATAAATAATTTACTCCGCAACTAACTCTAACTTTGTCCATAACTTTAATACATATGATACACACACAGGCCGAGAAGAATACGACCGCCTCCGCCCGCTCGCCTACCCACAGACCGACGTCTTCCTCATCTGCTTCAGCGTTGGCCTCCCCCCGTCGTTCGAGCACGTCAAGAGCAAGTGGGTGGCGGAGGCGCACCACCACTGTCCGGGCACGCCCGTCGTCTTGGTCGCCACGCAGACCGACCTGCGGGCGGACGAGGAGACGGTGGAGAGGATGGCGCAGGACGGGAAGCTCGCTGTGTCGGTGCACGAGGGGCAGAGGATGGCGCGCGAGGTGGGGGCTGCGAAGTACCTCGAGTGTTCGGCGAAGATGCTGGAGGGGGTGAAGGATGTTTTTGATCAGGTAAGCATGCAGATACTGCGGGATTATCTGCGCTAAGTGCTGAGTTGTCGTTGGTGCACCAGGCTATCGCTGTGGGCGTTGCGCAGAAGAACAAGGAGGAAAAACGTGGGAGGAGGTGTATCGTTCTGTAGGCACCAGGGGAAAGAAGTCTGTGAGAATAGGAAACGACTCGGACTCCGCGAGAGGCAGGTTACAAATATGGGATAATTTGGGCAGGCGAGATGCCAGTAGCGCGTAGCACAAGCGTAGTATCCTCCAGGACAGACAAAGATGGGCGCCTGCGCCCAGAGTCTGAGAACTTGAGGAGTAAAGATATTGTCGAGGTCCTGCCGGGTGGTATCTTCCGAGAGAGACAGATAAAGAGGTAACCAGGGTCGGAGAACTGGAGGAGCAAAGATGACATTGAGTTCCTGAATTTAGTATTGTACACAGCAAGACGAAAGCAGAAATTGGGGATGGGGAGTTTCGGACCTCTGATCCGAAGACCTGCAAAGTGATCGCCGCTCAGCCGAATCGCCCCTTTCACCGTTTGCTAAGTATCCACCGATTCCACCCCAACACGCGACTGCGGCGAGTCCCTTTACGATTCCTGGACGACGGCACTGCTACCCTCACCTCTCAACAGCCTCACCGCGCTTATCTCCGCCGTCGCTTCTCCGTACCTCGCCGTATTCATCACGTCGGCGTTTTTGGCTTTTCTGATACCTAACCCGCCTTTCTGATACTTTATGTAAAGTCAACAGCTTTGCCTGCATTTCTGATACTGTTTCCATCATGCCCACATAGATCAGTGGTAGATCTCCTTCCCAACTTGCACATAGCGGGTGATCTGTGAAGGTGGCGGGGGTTCGATTCCTCCTGTGGGCATCTTTGTAAAGTTTATTATTTTTCGCTGGCTGAAAGTGGTCGGCACACCTACTTTCAGCCAACTGACATCACGCCTTCGTGGATCAGCGGTAGATCTTCTCTGATAGTTCATTGTCCAAAATAGACTTCATGAGAAAGCGCGGGTTCGATCCCGCCGAAGGCACTCAAAGTTGAGGAGGGTATTTTTTTCTCCAGACGGACTCTTTCCTCACTTTCTGTCCCGCCGTCTCCTCTCTAATTTTATATTTCAACTCGAGTTATCTCTTCCATAAGTTGTTCGCATTTTCATCTATGTACTTTGTCAACACTACCCACGCCCACATAGATCAGTTGGTAGATCGCCTTTCATTACTCGGTGTTAGCAAAGTCTATTTGAAGGAGACGGAGGTTCGAACCCTCCTGTGGGCATGATTCTGCCAATTCCAACTACTTTTTCTTCCAGCTCATTTTTTTTGGTCGAGACACATTACGCCTGCATGGATCAATTGGTAGATCCCCTTCTACCATTAAATGTGCCAAATTGATGAATGTGAGGTTCGAACCCTCCTATGGGCACTGTGGAGTGTTGGGAATGTTTTTTGTTCCAGCTCATTTTTCCAGGCCCAACACCACCATATTACCCTGCGTCTTCATACATCATGCCCACATAGATCAGTTGGTAGATTGCCTTCCACAATTGCTTTTAAACTTTCTTAGCTTTGAAGGAGACGGGGGTTCGAACCCTCCTGTGGGCATTTGGGTCTAGAATCCTTTTTTTTTCTTCTTCCATATTCATTGGATCAGTGTCTGGGTAGAATAGAATCAGGAGGGATGCGGAGGTTTGAGCTCTTTCGCAAATTTTATGTTCATCTCTAGATCTACTCTGCATAGCTAATCATCATGCCTGTATGGATCAGCTGGTAGATCACCTTCCAAAATTGTTGTGAACTGCTGGAGGTTTTGAGGGAGACGGAGATTCGAACCCTCCTATGGGCATGTTGAGATTATTCATCTTTTTCGCAATTGGTTCATATGCTTTTTTTTCTAGGTTAAATTATCACCGCAACCAGTGCTCAATTTTATTTTATTTCTCCTCAGAGCTCTTCAGTTGAGCATCCTCTTAAAATTCAACATTGACTGGCTCGACCGTTTCTGACACCCAACACCCGAGATGCCAGATTACGGTGGAGTACATGTATGTGTTCCATCTTTGTCGATGCCTTCGTGGATCAACGGTAGATCATCTCGTCCGTTGTGATTAACTCGATCCTGGATTATGAGACCGCGGGGGTTCGAATCCCCCTGAAGGCATGTATCCAAGGGCCGTTCGGGTTTTTTTTTTTTTCACTTTTTGTTGTTTCTCCACTCAAGTCCAAGTCTTCCTCACTTTGGGTACCAGATTCTTGGATCCTCGTAACTCCTGTACTTTGTCAGTGCTTAATAATAATTACGCCCGCATGGATCCTGTACGCATTCATTGAAAAGAATCCATTTCTATCCCATGTGCGTGTTGTTCAACACACATCAAGCCCGCATGGATCAGTTGGTAGATCACCTTCCATCGTTATGTTATCATAATGTATGGATAGAAGGAAACGGAGGTTCAAACCCTCCTGCGGGCATTTGGTCAGAAGAGTCCGTTTTTGTTCCATGATCTTTTGTTGGGAAGCACAGTAAAAGCTTATGATCATGGGCTTTTATACGTAGGTTTCGGCGTTGCCTGAATGCAATGGAACACAAAACTTATTTTATTTTATTGGAACAGCATTTCCGGAACTCGTGACTAGGTTGAATTAAAATTGCTGCGCTTTTAGACTGTAGATCTGACTTCCGGCTCAGTATGGCGGTCAACGTGGTACTTTATTCACGAGGGGTATAATATGTTAATTTTAGGTACAATAAATGTGAAATTGAAGGAGCACAAAATGTTTACATAATGTTGGCACATAAACTCTCGAACATTTTTCCGGTAGAAAAACTCTCTCATCATCTTTACCTCTATGGCAGCTGTCGGCAGCTGTCGGCACCATAAGGTGGCTGTGCTGATGAACCTACGGGCCGGATGGAGTTGAACCTGTAATATTCCCTCTGAAGAGGGCTACAGGTTACCTCCTGTATAATAGCCTTATTGATATGCTAGAGAACTCCAGGCTCCAATAATTACCATGTGCTGGGTGTAGATCCTTGAAAAATACACTACATATTGTGCAATTTGGGAGAGCTCGGCATATGCACCATTGGCACAGCCACCTTGTGGTGCCGACAGCTGCCGACAGCTGCCATAGAGGTAAAGATGATGAGAGAGTTTTTCTACCGGAAAAATGTTCGAGAGTTTATGTGCCAACATTATGTAAACATTTTGTGCTCCTTCAATTTCACATTTATTGTACCTAAAATTAACCCTCGTGAATAAAGTACCACGTTGACCGCCATAGCTCAGCCCTCTTGTTGCGCAAGAACAAACAGCGGAACCAACCAATGCGATGGGTTGAAAAGGCTTGGTTTAGCATATCACACTGCATAGATCACCTTGAGTTCTTTAATAATATCGTCCTTCTCGGTCGCCGCTTGGACATGGGACAGCTCAATATTGGATGCAATCTGCGTCACTTGCGTAATTTGGATGTTGCGAGAGGGTATGCCGATCTGCGTCTCCTACCATTAAAAATTGCTCCAAAGCGAGGAATATAAACTCACCTCGGGTATTAAATTCAAAGACGATATCAGGGAAATTTCGTTCATTGCGCGGAGCGTCGTTCTGGAGGTCAGACTGTATGTCAAACTCCATATCAACTCATACTTGCATCTCCAACATCACCATGAGATTACCTGGCCAAGAGCAAGTTTGGAAACACTTCGAGGCCAAAGTATAGTAAGAGCTGCGGAGGAGTGACATGACTCGAGACGCGCTCACTTCCCGAGTCGACGTAAAATAATTTAATAAGATTATAAGGCAAGCCAGATAGCCGTAAAAAAGATCACGGGGCGAGGATGAACATTAAATATTAATTCTCCTTCATTTCGAGGAGCGGAAAGAAAGATCCAGGTAGTTTAGCATGAATACACAGTCACAGGCCAACGTGGCAAGGCTTGCCGCTCTAGAAGATTTTTTAAAATGAGATACAACAAAAACCAGTGAGCTGCGAATCGAACCTTGTCAACATCTATCAAACATATGAAATATTTTACAAATCTCTGGACAAACCTATGGTGATTTTATCGACTAGTGCCGCAGTTCCGCATCTTTCTTGTAAAAAATGTTTAACACCGGAATCTGTTGAGGCCAGAAATTATACCTCTTATGTGCGTTGGTACGTTGGCTGCAGAGGAGGTCCACCAGCGTTGCTGTTCTCGTCAAAGTATTGGCTGTGCTGATGCTGTTGGCCTGTTTGCGTCGTGGCCCGTGGGGCCCCCTTTGATAGGACAATGCATACAGTAGGATAGTAGGATATCTGCCAGTCTCAATCTATCACTTGATCCGTCAACGTCCACACACTGCCACGAGGCTCTGCAACTGCTACTTAATAATAGTCGATTGGATTCTTATCGAGAATAAAGAGGACATTCAATTGCGGCTCTCCGTTTCCGCTCTTTCACGAACGACCTCCAGACAAGATGAATCATGTCAAACTTGTGATAATTGGGGACCATGGTGTCGGAAAGGTTCGCCGCAACGTTAACCTTACGCGCCGATCCAGGTCTTGGATATACACATACTTATCGATTCTGTTTGCCGCGTGCGGCGCTAGACCAGCATGTGTATCTCGTTTACGACCGGGAAGTTCCCCTATGGATATATTCCGACTGTGGGTGGTTCGATTGCGATATCGGATAGTACAGCGCGTGTTAATTTGTGGATACATGTAGTTCTTCGACAGCTATGCAGATCGTATGCAGTTGGGGACGAAGACGTGGATGTTTGGTATCTTTGACACTGCCGGTGAGGGCGCTCCCTTCAAATTCCGCAACTGACAAACGTTGAACAACTATATAAATTATACACAGGCAGCGAGGAATACGACCGCCTCCGCCCGCTCTCCTACCCACAGACCGACATCTTCCTCGTCTGCTTCAGCGTCGGCCTCCCCCCGTCATTCGAGCACGTAAAGAGCAAGTGGGTGCCAGAGGCGCACCACCACTGCCCGGGCACGCCCTTCGTCTTGGTCGCCACGCAGATCGACTTGCGGGCGGACGAGGAGGCGGTGGAGCGGATGGCGCGGGACGGGAAGCTCACTGTGTCGGTGCACCAGGGGCAGAGGATGGCGAGGGAGCTGGGGGCGGCGAAATATGTCGAGTGTTCGGCGAAGACGCTGGAGGGGGTCAAGGACGTTTTCGACCAGGTAAGCAGATGCATGAGGAATTGTATATTATCTGCGCTGCATGCTGAGTTGGTGTCGGTGCTCGTCAGGCTATCGCTGTCGGCGTTGCCTACAGGAACAAGGAGGACAAGCGGGGGAGAAGGTGCATCGTCCTGTAGACGCCAGGCAAACGGTATCCGAAGTCTGCGAGAATAACACGTAGAGGAAACGCCAAGAGAGTCAGGTACGATTTTGGGGCGAGCGAGATGTCAGTACTGGGAGATGCCTCTGGTCACTACATACCATTTGTAACGGTCCGCGATAGAGTAAATCAACGAGCAAAAATGGCCTTACCTCCGGTCCGTATAGAGTAAAACGAACTTGAACAGGGCCAGGCCCGTCGGATATAGAGTAAGGTTGTCAGCGCTGCCTGAATGCAATCGAACACAAAAGTTATTTTATTTTATTGGAACACCATGTCCGGAGCTCGTGACCGGGTTGAATTAATATTGCTGCACACTTGGACTCTAGATCTGACCTCTGGCTCGAATTCCATCGAAAATGAAACACGAATGAAATACAAACAGCCGTCTGAAACCTTTTCCAGCGTAAGACCAATAACTCACCCATTCAACGCGATGGGTTGAAAAGCCAGGTTGAGCACATCACACTGCATAGATCACCTCGAGGCCTTTAATAATATCCTCCTTCTCGGTCGCCGCTTGGACGTGGGAGTCCCGGCTCAGCGTTGGATGTGATTTGTGTAATCTGGATGCGGTGGGAGGGCAGCCTGATCTATACATATGTCTCCCATATTCACAATTTAGAGCCCGAAAGCTCGAAATACAACTCACCTCGTGTATTAAATTCAAAGATCTAGTAGGGAAATGTTGTTCATTGCGCGGAGCGTCGCTCTGAAGTTCAGACTGTATATCAAGCCCCACATCAACTCATCCTTCATCTTCACCGTCACCAAGAGATTACCTGGCCAAGAGCGAGTTTGAAAACACTTCGAGGCCAAAATATAGTCAGAGCTGCGGAGGAGTGACATGATTGAAGACGCACTCACTTTGCGAGTCGACGTAAAATAAGGCAAGCCAGATAGCTGCAAAAAAATAGTGATCACGGCGTGAGGATGGACATTAAATACTTCTGTATTGCATGCCCACAATTCTCCTTCATTGTGAGAAGCGGAAAGAAAGATCCAGGTAGTTCAGCATGAATACACAGTCACAGGCCAACGTGGCAAGGCTTGTCGCACTAGAAGTTTTTTTTTTATGAGATACGACAAATACCACTGAGCTGCGAATTGAACCTTGTCAACATCTATCAAACATTGAAATAAGTTTACAAATCTCTCGACAAACCTAGGGTGATTTTATCGACTAGTGTCGTAGTTCCGCATTTTTCTTTTGAAAACATTTAACACCGGAATCTGCTGAGGCCAGAAATCATCCCTCTTATGTGAGTTGGTACGTTGGTTGCAGAGGAGGTCCACCAGCGTTGCTGTTCTCGTCAAATTATTGGCTGTGCCGATGCTGTTGACCTGTCTGCCAGTATGCCGTGGCCCGTGGGCCTCCTTTGATAGGGCAATGCATACAGTATGATAGTAGGATACCTGCCAGTCTCTATCCATCACTTGATCCGTCAACGTCGTCCACACACTGCCACGAGGCTCTGCACCTGCTACTTAATAGTTGATTTGGATTCTTATCGAGAATAAAGAGGACTTTCAATTGCTGCTCTCCGTTTCCGCTCTTTCACGAACGACCTCCAGGCAAGATGAATTCTGTCAAACTCATGATAATTGGGGACCATGGTGTCGGAAAGGTTCGCCGCAACGTTAACCTTACGCGCCGATCCAGGTCTTGGATATACACATACTTATCGATTCTGTTTGCCGCGTGCGGCGCTAGACCAGCATGTGCATCTCGTTTGCGAGCGGGAAGTTCCCGGATGGATATGTTCCGACTGTACGTAGTTCGGATACTTTACTCCGTCAGCGCATGCTGATTTATGGGACTGTAGGTTTTCGACAGCTATGCGGAGAGTGTGCAGGTGGGGACGTAGACGTGCGTGTTTGGGATTTTCGACTCTGCCGGTGCGCGTAATAAATAATTCACTTCACTTCGCAACTGACACTTGTGCATAACTTTGAATAACACACAGGCCAAGAAGAATACGACCGCCTCCGCCCGCTCTCCTACCCGCAGACCGACGTCTTCCTCATCTGCTTCAGCGTCGGGCACCCCATGTCGTTCGAGCAGGTCAAGCGCAAGTGGGTGCCGGAGGCGCACCACCACTGCCCGGGGACGCCCTTCATC